TCTCTCAACCGAAATTAATCAGATTATGATTCAAGTGAATATACTAGAACAGACATTGAAAAGGATTTAAAAAAAATCTTCAAGAGATGCTCTATAATTGGAGAGACGATAATGAAAATAAATAGAAGTACCATTTTGTATTTCCTTCTCCAAGTTTGAGGTGTCTCATAATTGGAAGTTCGAACTAAGGAAAAACGTCATTGCTACTGAAGTTGCTGTAGCGGGAGAACTACGCTCCTTACACAAAGTTACTGGGTCTCTGCCTGCGGGCCCTAACGTACGAGGATTATCTAAGTGGAACAGCGAATTTTCAATGGCTACACGGTATGTTCAATTTGTCGGGTTACAAGGTAACCCGCAGTTACGACATAGGACTATAAGGTTAATTAATTTAGTATGACAAGTACAGACATTTAGATAGATTATTACAGACATTACAAAGTGTAGTGGCTCAGGCAAAAGTTGGCTGCCTACTCTTAGTCAGCTGCTTCTCGAGAAAACTATCTACCCATACTTTTTCTCCTTAGTCTTTGTCAGAGGAGTGCGGCGGCTGAAGAAAACTTACAAGTTTTTAAGCGCGGCCAAGGCTGGCCCGCTACATTCCTCCTCCCTAAGACAACGCACTACTGACAAATTTCGCATACATGGAGGTTATACTAGATGGCGGACTAGACGGCACGCTGATAGTACACTAATCAACATTAGACACAAGCCTCTAAATGAAATCGCAAATCTGATATGAATAATTCAATACATCCTATTTTCAAGTACAGTACGTTGAAATGCATTTCCTTACACTTCGCCAGTCAAATTTATCATACTGTAGTCCCATGAGAAAATACACATCTTTGTCGAATTCATGATGATAAGTAACCAATAATTGATCACGAAGTCGGCGGCTTTACCCGCAGATTTTCCGGGGTAGTCTTGCCGGAAGGCTTCATCAAGCCGTGTAGCATAATCTTCGAGGGTCTCGTGCCGAGTCATCTTCATCGTCCTGAACGAGGTAGAACCCAACGAACCCTCTCTTCGCCGTCGTCATCGCCTCGTTCCTCTGTCACCAACGACCCTATCAAATGAGTTGTACGTGCTATCCGAGGAATAGTCGCCATCGCTGTCGTCCCGATAATTTAGCAGATTGCAACCGGCTAGAGCTGGCCCACTCTCCGCGTCAGTAGCAGTACCATCATATGTTGAGCATAATGGTTGTAGTCCGCTGCAGGAAGATTCACTGCCAAGACCGGGATCACAAGCTGAAGAAATCAGCCGCAGACCAGGTTCAGATGACGTACCCCCAACGTTGCCAACGGGAGAACCCAATAGGGGAGCGCATGCCAACCACGAGGATCTGCAAGGTTCGAACTTCGTCGGAGTTGGTGGCAGATCCGTCAGTGATAAGCTAGACGACACTGGTAGGGAAAAAACCGGCATGGATGGGGTAACCGTAGCTTCCTTCGTGACTGCCGCCGTCGGGAGACACTCCATGTCAAGAAGAGGGTACACATCCGACGCAGAGCCGCGATGAGCAAGTTTCCAGAATCGCTAAGTGGGCTCTCCTCAAGCAAGTTGCAAGTACTTCAGGGTTATTCGAAATTTCCTGGTAAGAAACTGGTTCATCATCAAACTCAAAGAGAGGGGCCGCTAGTTCTGGACACTTCCCGGGCCGGTAATCACGACTACGGCAGATGAAACACTCATCTTCGCTCAAACATTTCGCCGAAGTGTGACCGCGCACTCCACATTTATTGCAGGTTTTGCGATTGGAGTTTGTATAGACTAATGTCTTTGTTAACTTTAAGCGCTGACCACCATCGCAACTACGCCGGAGATTCTGTGCCGGAGTAGGAAGAGAATATCCGTTGAAGGCTGCACTCTCGCGCTGCAGTTCTGCAATAACGGCCTGAGTGTCCAACACCCAGCGCGACAGCAGTCCCAACAATTACGAAGTCATTACGATTTTTTAAACCTTTCACAGATACCGGCCTAAATCGGTTATCAGTAATTGAGTACTTGAGGGCGGATGACGCAGGGGATGGTGCTGTACATAAAGAACGAAACGTCCAAGAAGGCGCAGTCACACTCGCTGGGTAATCCACGATACGACCGCCGCGACAGACAGTCCCCATACTGGGCCACCAAAAATATGTAGCGGGAGAACTACGCTCCTTACACAAGTTAGTGGGTCTCTGCCTGCGGGCCCTAACGGACGAGGATTATCTAAGTGGATCAGCGAATCTTCAATGGCCACACGGTATATTTAATTTGTCTGGTTACAAGGTAAGCCGCAGCCGCGACATAGGACTATAAAGATTATTCATTTAGTATAACAAGTACAGACATTATACAGACATTTAGACAGATTATTACAGACATTACTAAGTGTAGTGGCTCAGGCAAAAGTTGGCTGCCTACTCGTGATCAGCTGCTTCTCGAGAAAACTGTCTACTCATACTTTTTCTCCTTAGTCTTTGTCAGAGAAGTGCGGCTGAAGAAAACTTACAAGTTTTTAAGCGCGGCCAAGGATGGCCCGCTACATTGCTATTGGAAAACTTTGTTGATTTCAACAATCTTTTTCTGTATAGCAAGTCTACTCATCAGCCTGAATAGAAGTTGTTGAAGAACGCTTCCGATAAGGGATATAATAAATCTGAAGTCATTAATTTATTTTCTGACGGCAAGGGCATTATTGATGAATATCTTGAAAACCTACTTAAAAGCCGTCAACAGAAATGTGCTATCGAATATTTTGAGAATACTGCATATGTACCTTCTTTCAGTGATATGGATGCAATAAAGGATTTGTTCATTTTCGATGGTATTGCTACGGAAAAGAATCAAAATCATGCTGAAGGTTTTTACATCCGTGGATGACATAATAACTGTAGTTCAATTTACTTATCCCAAAACTATCACGTATTACCAAAACAAACATAAAAAACGAATTCAAATTTATTAATTCTCTTCGACTTAACTTTCATCGCTATGAAGAATATTCACAGTGATTACATTGCTTGCGATATGCTCTCTGCCGAGTTTAAAGAGTTGTTTAATGAAACGAATAAAATGCCTTATAGTTTTATGTTGATTAATAAAGATGAGCACCCTGGTTCTGGCAAGTATTTAAAAAATTTAAATCAATTATATATCCCAAAAAAGTATCTTCCATCAAAACAGCCGTTCAAGCCCTGAGTTCTCGGTCAAAAGAGTGCATGATTGACCGTGGCTAAATGGTCGTTTACAAAATTTGTATGGTCAAGCTTAGGTATAAGATTGTAGGTAAATGGTCAGGTTTTTGATCGGAAGACGGTGCTCAAATTCTAGTTAGCCAAGATTCTAAATAAGATTGCAGGTAAATGACCAGGTTTTATTCCGGGAAATTGGTAAATTTTGATGGCAAGATTCGCAATAAGATTTTGAGTAAATGATCGGTACCCTGTTAAGCTGTTTATGCAGATTGTGGTCATAAGCTCGGTCTCTATACTACTCATAGTTCTGTTCCAAAATTTATCGTCCTTGACGACTGGCCGTTCAACCGTAGGCTGATTCGACACACTGGACAGATACGGCGGACGGGTCGATGGCGGGCATCATAATCACTGCATTGTTCCGGCGCGCTCCGTTCGGGTGGGGTAAAATTTTTTCGCGTATTGGCAGACGATGCTGGGCCATACTACGTTAGGCTACTTTCCTGTGGGCTGATTAATCTAATTCAATGGATGTGATCTCTCTGGTGACTTGCGGCTGATAATGTTACGGTCAAGAAGTGTTATAGGCTAGCTACATTCATGAGGGAAAAGATTATGAAATTTAATTCGAAGTTCGGCAGTGGTGATCTCTGACAGGCGTCACACTGGGGGTAGGAGTGTGGATTGGTAGCCCAAACTGGCCCATTACAATGGATTGCTGGTTCATCACAATGGATTGTATGGTCCATTACAACGGATTGCTGGTCAATTACAACGGATTGCTTGTCCATTATAATGGATTGCTGGTCCATTACAATTGATTGCTGTCCATTGCAATGGATTGCTGGTCCATTACAATGGATTGCTGTCCATTAAAATGGATTGCTGGTCCATTACAACGGATTGCTTATACATTACAATGGATTGCTGGTCCATCACAATTGATAGCAGGTTCGTTACAATGGATTGCATGGTCCATTACAACGGATTGCTGGTCCATTACAACGGATTGCTTGTCCATTATAATGGATTGCTGGTCCATTACAATTGATTGCTGGTCCATTGCAATGGATTGCTGGTCCATTACAATGGATTGCTGGTTCGTTACAATGGATTGCATGGTCCATTACAACGGATTGCTGGTCCATTACAACGGATTGGTTGTCCATTATAATAGATTGCTGGTCCATTACACTTGATTGCTGGTCCATTGCAATGGATTGCTGGTCCATTGTTGTGACCGCCACAACATGATAGAATCGCTTTTCTCTTTTCATTACTTACTTTGCGTTTCATTCTGTATATATATTTACCATAGCTGTATTAAATAAATAGTTCAGAGTGAACTGGACAGATGGTTCTCGTTGTAACAGTTGGAAGTAGGGTTCTGGGTTCGAGTTAGTAAGAGATAGGCTGTCACATGTGAAAGTTCTCAAGTTTATGCTCCTCGAAAAATATCAGTGTATTCATTATCTCTCGCGTACTACCAGAACTATCGATTACATTGGCTTTGTGGTGTGGTAGCAGCGCGGAAAATTGCGGTAGTGTGTGCGCCACAACACCATTACAATGGATTGCTGTCCATTAAAATGGATTGCTGGTACATTACAATGGATTGATGGTCCATTACATTGGATTGCTGGTCCATTACAATGGATTACTGGTCCATTACAATGGATTGCTGTCCATTACAATGATTTGCTGGACCATTACTATGGATTGCTGCCCATTACAATGAATTGCTGGGCCAAGTATAATGGATCGTAGGTCTATTATCCATTATTCATGCCCCAATATTGCCTTCCTGAGGGACAGGGTGAAGCTGGTGAGGTTCATCGGCTGCGTGGGCACCGATGCTGGAGCGGCCGCCATCGCGTCGGTGGCCCAGGACGCTGTCCTCTACATCCACTTGGCGGCGCCCCTGGACCTCAGCGCCCTCGGGGGGACTTACGAGCTCCTCAGTGAGTCTTGCCCAGCACGGGGGGCGGCGTATAATAATACATTGTATTGTCGTTATTTATTGTAATGTTAGGCGGTTATTCCCCAGGATAATCACCATAACTATTAAGTATATTTAGTTATAATATATCAACAAATTAAATAATTATTTAACTTATTAGCATTAATCAAGGGGCCATAAGATGCTCTGATATAATATAATACGTGGGTATCATAAATAGGTTATATATATTATAATACATTAATATTAAATGCATATTATAATGCATATTATTTTATGTATACGTACATTATATTATGTATATATGTTCTTGGGTAAAACCGTTATCTTGCATCACTGATATTTCGCATCACTGTTATCTTTCATCACTGTTATCTTGCATCACTGTTATCTTGCATCACTGTTATCTTGCATCACTGTTATCTTTCATCACTGTTATCTTGCATCACTGTTATCTTGCATCACAGTTATCTTGCATCACAGTTATCTTGCATTACATTTATCTTGCATCGATGTTATCTTTATTCGCTGTTATCTTTTATCACTGTTTTCTAGCATCACAGTTATCTTGCATCACTAATATCTTGCGTCACTGTTATCTTGCATTGCCATCGCTGTTATCTTTCATCATTGTTGCCTTGCAAAACTGTTATCTTCCACCTCTATCATACTGTATCACTGTTATCTTGCATCTCAGTCATCTTGCATCACTGTTATCTTGCATCACAATTATCTTGCATTACTGTTATCTTGCATAACTGTTATCTTGCATAACTGTTATCTTGCATAACTGTTATCTTGCATAACTGTTATCTTGCATCACTGTTATCTTGCATCACCGTTATCTTGCATCACTGTTCTTGCATCACTGGTATCTTGCATCACCGTTATCTTGCATCACTGTTATCTTGCATCACTGTTATCTTGCATCACCGTTATCTTGCATCACTGTTATCTTGCATTACTGTTATCTTGCATCACTGTTATCCTCATTGTTATCTTATTTGAATTACGCAGGGGTGTGCACGCGCCCCCTCCCGCACATTGGCCCCTCGTTGCCGCTGCCCCCCTCCCCCCCGCCATGGCTGGTCGTGGAGGGGGCGGATGAGGGGTCCTGGGGGGCCGTGGCCCAAACTATCACCTCCCTCGCCCCCCCTGGCAAGAGGTGCGTAGCTCCCCGACCCCGAATTCCATTTGTTATACATCGTATAGTTACGTAAACACGGTATAGTTATACATCGTATAAATATACATTTAAATTGAATGAATTGTTTTTTGCCAAATCATTTATTTGCATTTAGTGATCGTTAGTGAGTCTGGGAGACGACCAAGTTGGGGAGTTATGCGTAGAAATGACACTGCAGTTGGTGAGTCTGGGGGAGTGACTCTACAGTTTGTGTGTCAGGTGGAATGAAACTGAATTTTGTGCGTCTGCGTAAATGTCATTGCAGTTGGTGTGTCTGGGGAAATAATACTACAGTTTGCGCGTCTGGAGGAATGACACTGCAGTTTGTGAGTCTCCGGAAATGACATTGTAGTTTGTGTGCCCAGGTTTGTGGGGCTGTCGTTGCAGGGCTGCAGACTGAATGCCGCAGACCTGCCGCCACTGCTGCAGGCCCTGATAGAAGAGGGCGTCTGGGCGGGCTACGAGGGCGACACGCGGGGCGAGGGTGACACGCGGGCCGTGGTTGACTGGTGAGTGGACGGCGGCCACTGAACAGTCGGCAAGTATTCCCATATCACTGTATGATATAATTACATTCTCATAAATTGACTGCAATGATAGTATTAATTGATTAATAATTGCGACTGATGGCCGCAGCAAAATGAAACAAAGTGGCGTCCAATCCTGCCACATGCCACGCAGGAGATTAACCGCCGTACTCCCACAGGAGGTACAGGGTTGTTCGCCTCTTCATCACGGGTCGCATGCCCTCGGAAGGGCCGAAGGTGCCCAGTGACGATGAACTGCGACGCCTGCGCTGACGAGGACAATAATATGTGTTTTATGTGGAATTAATGAGACTGTGTGTGTTTTGTGTGGGATTAATGATGCTTTGTATTTGTTTCGAATAAAGTTATTGAGAATGCGTGTGTGTTTTATGTAGGATTATTGAGACTGTGTGTTTTGTGTGGGATTAATGAGGCTGTGCCTCATGTAAAAGAGCCTGCAGCATTAAAAAAGAGAGAGCCTGCAGCATTAAAAATATTAATGCTGTTGTCAGTCCTTTTCATTTGCCTGCAGATCAAAGCAAGGCTATTTTTTGCTTGCGATGGAACACACCTGGGCGTACAGCTTACTTCTGTTAATCTACATTTTCTGAGGGTAGAGCTCATTCAATTGCAAACTTCATTTCCAAAACTAATTTATCTGTTTATCGTCATTCTTGAATTAATTCTTTGGTAACGTGCAATTCGAAGATAAGAGTAGAAAAATTCAGTAGATCAATTGTTGCCGTAACTTTTGGTTTTTAAGTTTTAAAATACTTAATACTTGGTTTGGTTTCCCCCTCATTCAGCAGTACGCGTCCATGCCGAGCAGTGCAATGTGCCAGTGTCCGATAGTGATTTTCGAATTTTAGCCTCCACGACCCGTGTTTCCGACTTGCGAATTCTAGAGTCCCTTTATATTTTTAAACAAAAGCCTATTTTAATGCCGCTAATAGTTCATATTCCCTCGAAATTGTAAATAGATAGATTTGTGCCCGTGTTTGATTCATTCATGTTTGTTTCTCATATGACGATTTATGCATCAATGTGAATTTATTGCTAATTGTTTGTACCTGTGTTTTAGGTTTTGAACTGATGATGGAGCTGGTCTCCGAAACGTTTTCTTTTTTAAGAAATGGTGAATTTTCTGGCTATTTTCTTTGCTTTTAAATTTTTGGTTTTTACAAGTGGAAAGAAGTCGAAGTTTTGCTAAGTACGAATGCTACCTTGGAAGCATTCAGAAGGAAGGAAGCCACTTGTGCCTACAAACCAAACGACTAGCAAAAATCATTGTCTTAAATTAGCAGATTACCGTACAATAAGTGCTCCTAAACCTCGTGTCAATTCGGAATGTGTATTTTCCAAGGGATAACAGATTCTGATGCATTTCTGAACTACTTTTTGAAGTTCTTAATGGAAATATTGCTGGTGCCACATGTTCGTGTATATACCCACTATACTGTTCAGAATCCTTGAGCTGATCAAACTGGGAGTTAGGAACGTTTGATTGTGATGCGGGAACTTTTATTGGAAAATAACTTTTTTTCGATTTAACTATACAATAAATACCCAAGACAGTGCTTTGCAGCGACGATCCAAAATCTGTAGAAGTATTTCAACTTGTAACAACTCAACAAACTGGCCAACATTTTCATTAGAGAACGATGTGCTGATTAGACAACATGCGATAGGAAGTTTGCGTTGAATGTTCCTATATGAACCGTGTTACCTTCAGAAATGAGGAAAAAGTAATGAAATTAGCACATGACTGCATTATCGCCAGACACATGGGCGTTCAGAAAACAATGAAATATAGTAATATAAATGGAGCTTTTTTCGGGTCTTGTTTGTTGCATGTCGTCCTTCTAAGTTACTATTGATTAAAATGTCCGTACTAGAAATTTTAAGTGTGGGGAAATGGTTTTGTTATCGCTTTCTACTAGCGCCTGTAATGTTGACTGTACGTAAGGGACTTTCGAGACTTTCTAGGTAGTGAGACGGACCGATAAGGTTGATTATGTCATTAGAGTTAATGATTCCGAATGAACATATCATAGACTTTCTGTTTTGTGTGGGATTTACTAGATCGTATTTGTGTTAAATATGGCATTATTTATCCTAATAAACACGTGATTACATTTTCCACACGCGTTTCATTCGCCATGGCCGCCAGGGACTCGGCGCCTGAATGGTGCTAGGGACCATGAGATGAGATGGTCACGGTCGTGATGGTGTCGTGTCTCGACCACGACACGTGCCGCCGTTTGTATTATTAGTAGTCACACGAAACAAATTACCAACATATCATTCAGAATAAGAAAAATATTATCTTCAACCAAGCCATATTACTAATTAATAATATTCATTAATTTTCGATCTGCTACCTGGGAGGAGAAGCAAAGCGTTGTTACCCATTGTGTTCTCATGGATTTCAAATCGTAATTTGCTTGAAAATGCGTCTTCCCTGCAATGAAGTGAAAAATAGGGTTTAAGAAAGTTCGTGGAAGTATTTAATAAGATTAAGTTGATAGTCTTCAGAATTGAATGATATTTTTGTGCTTGTATTGAAATTATACACACCAAATTACATAATATCTGATGGGTCTAACTTTTAACCAATAAAGTCGAAAGGAAGAGGTTTGCATATTCAGTAGGTTTGATAAATTTTGCAAAAGCACAATAAAATATACTTTAAAAAATCACTGATCACGCGTTGCAAAATAAATTTTTGTTTTCGTCCGTAGAAAACTTCTTATGGACGAAAACAATCGTACCGTAGAAAACTTCTTATGGAAAAGTTCATCCGTACCAGACAGGCGACCTGCGCCCCAAGCCTGCGTCACACCAGACAGGCGACCTGCGCCCCCAGCCTGCGTCGCGCCAGACAGACGACCTGCGCCTTCTGCCAGTGTCGCACCAGACAGACGACCTGCGTCGCAACAGACAGCTGGAATACCGAGAGAAATATTGTCAGACAACGGCACGTCAAAATTGATGGGAGAAATACACAGGCTTCTCGGAGTAAAGACTCTATTTATCATTGCTTTACACCCTATGGCCAATGAGAGAATTGAAAGACTCTATGGCACCCTTAAGTAGTGCTTATGTAAAATGTGCGCTAACAAACCGTCCGACTGGGACAGGTATTAAGTCCCAACACTATTTGTCTTGCGAGAAATGTCAAGTGACAGCTCGGGGCTTTCAGTTTTTGAGTTTTTGGTCCGCGGTACCACTGGCAGGTACGTGGCCCTCTTGCGTGACCTCTGGGAGGACGGTTTTCTGGTCAACGAGGAACGCACTTCCTTTCAGTATGTAATTGAGTTACAGTAAAAATTGAAGGAATATGCTACAATTGCCGCCGAGAACTCGGATGTCAGTGCGTCCCGATATAAAACCTATTTCGATTACCTGCAATTTTCTGTCGGTAATGAAGTTTTGGTTCTTCCAGACTTCAAAAACAAACTGCTTATGGCTTGGGATTAAGAGACCCTACCGTATATTAGAAAAAAAATCGCGTCAATTATCTTGTCGATGAGAACAGTAGCCCAAAATTGTACCATCAAAATTTATTGAATCGGTACTATTGCCTCACGTCCGTGAACTGTGCCTATATCCCCAATGAAATAGTTTGTCATCTAATATCCTTGAAGAGCAATCTATTTACTGTATTTCAGGGTTGCGTCATTGAAGAAGTACTAAAGCTTGCCGCCGATACGTCTGCTGAGGCTGACGGAAATACGTCCATAACCACCATGGACTTATATTTGTCAGAGGTACAGGAAATTTGTCCTGATCTCTCGCCATCATAGGTCAACGACGTGCGAGCGCTTCTGTCAGCTTTTGACAGTGTGAGGACACCGTTGCCAGGTTGTACATCCACGGACGAGTACGAAATAGAGCTTAGAACCACGTCCCCAGAAAGAGCAAAATTTTAACCTGTACCGTTGCATTTACGCAAACATTTTGATAAAGAAGTAGACACGCTATTAGCTTTGAAGATAATTATCCCCATACTCGTCCCCTGTACAGCAGCCGAAAATTGAAGCAATCTAAGCACTATCGCCACCAATTACCAAGAAGGCATTACGCTCCTTCCTGGGTATGACTTCTTTCTATCGTTTCTATCGTAAATTTATTCCAGATGCCGCATCCCTTACTGCTTTTATTAATGTTGAATAATGCAAGATTTTAAATTCCGAAATTTTATTAAATAAAGAAAATTCCAGTTAAATAATTCTCATGAAGGTGGTTGAATGGAGTGGACAAGGTTTGATAGGTTTGGTCTTGCAAGTTCAGGTGATCAAAAAGTTATGGAGGCGGCGGCAGTAACAGACTCGCGTAAATACGTGCTGGGTCGCACGTAAACTGAGCGACGTCGCCCCGGGTTGTTCTGAGACAGATGGTTAAATATAATTGAATAACAGTCGACTATGATAAATAAAGCAATTCATATAATCAAACTGGCAAAATGAATAATACAAAGGTGAATTTAATGGTGAATTATTTCTTTAAGTGAATAATCCACTTGAGAGGCTGTTGCCAGATGAAGGAAGTTGACTTTAGAGTTAATTTAAGCGATATTAGTCCAGGTTTTAAATAAATCTTAATAGCATGCGGTTAATGTAGATTAGTAATTTATATTGATAATTAAAGTGATAAATTGAAGAAATATAGAAATTTTCAATTGAAGAAATATGGAAATTTTAATTTTTAAAATTTTAACTTTCTAATTTTCCTGAATATAATAATCCAAAGACCGTCTCTAATACTGCATCCATGACGGACATACTTCAGAGAGCGACCCCCGAACCTCTTGAGCGGGCCTCGATGGAAGGTCCCGTCTTGAAGCTACCGTATACCCGACCATAACCTTCGTCCTCCGAACTGATGACTCTTGGCAAGGTCTCGGTGCAGTACTGCTGCAATACCACGACGGCCGGTGTACCGTATCTCGTCGCCTACGCTAGCAGCAAGTTGCTGGATCGCGAGCCGCGTTACTTTACTACCCCAGTTTAAATTTTGAGCCGAGACCGGTGCCGGGTTTAGCCGGGCTGGTCGCGCTTTAGCAGGATGCAGCCGTGAAACTATAACTGGCCATCTATCCCTAAAACGGCGCTGCGCCATGGCTAATATAGAGACAAATTCTAACAGCTCGGCAGTGCCGGAACTCTGCGCTGTTGCAGCGCTGGTACTTGGTTTGCCCGGCAGGGAGCTGAACAGAGCAGCTAAGCAGGCCGTGCATGGGGGGTTTTGAGAGAGGGAGGAGGGGTTAGGGTTGGTAACAGTGACGGGAGAATGAACTTCATCCTTCATCTAGTTCATTCGTATAGTACAATATTTTTGGTCAATTTCTGGTACCAGTTATGATATTTATTTCACGTCAGTATTATAATACTTTCAATTACGTAAGAATTTTATATGCTCTTTCAGTTTTAACATGCAAACAGAAACATTTACGGTCATTCACGCGTTGTCAAAGTGAGATATCAATCAGTTTATCATGAGAAAGTTTTCTAACTTGGATTTACAGAAAACGCGTTAATAACAGCAAATATTAGAGCAAAGAAAATACGAAGGAAATTCACCATTTTTTTCAATGAAAATGTGTAAGCCAGCACCATCATCAGTTTATAAAATTGATCGAATTTCCCTGCGTTTCGGTGCTGGTTTCCGAAACGTTTTCATTGAAGACATGGTGAATTTATTTAGCGCTTTCTTTGCATTTAAACTCTTAGATAACTTGCTATTTCGGCAGATTAATGATTTGAGTGCGTTGTTAATTTTCCTATAAAACTATCGAATGACA